TGAAGAGCAGCAGGAGCCAGGAGCAGCTCCAGGATCCTGCCCAGCGCCAGCTCCAGGTCCTGACTGCTCCAGGATCAGAGAGAGAAGAATCCAGGGAGAGCTCAGAGCCCTTGCAGGGCCTGAAGGGGCTCCAGGAGAGCTGCAGAGGGACTGGGGCCAAGGATGGAGGGCCAGGAGGCAGGGAATGGCTGCCAGTGGCAGAGGGCAGGGCTGGATGGGATCTTGGGAATTGGGAATTGTTCCCTGGCAGGGTGGGCAGGGGCTGGGCTGGAATTGCCAGAGCAGCTGGGGCTGCCCCTGGAGCCCTGGCAGTGCCCAAGGCCAGGCTGGACATTGGGGCTGGCAGCACCTGGCACAGTGGGAGGTGGCCCTGACATGGGAATGGGATGGCATTTAAGGTCATTTAAAGTCCTTTCCAACCCAGACTATTCTGGGATTCTCTGGTTCCAGGAAGAGCTGCTGGGCAGGAAGGTTTCTGCTTTCCCAGGGTGCTGGGTCTGGGGTGTTCACCCAGCACTCCCCCCCTTGCAGTCGGATCTCCAAGCTCGGATTCTCAGGAAAAGAGACCTGGGAAGGGGTGGGGAAGGGGCTCCTGGTGTCCCTGCAATGCTCCCAGCACAGCCAGAGCCAGATCCAGCTCTCCCACCTTCCTCGTGGGGATTAAGGACTGGGAAACTTTGGAGCGATGGGGTGGGTCTGAAGAAGGTGAGGGCACCAAAACCAACGGGTGATTCTGGGACAGAGGAACTCCTTCCCTCTTAAATTTGGTGCCAGCACGCTGGAAAAATCCCATTTTCCTCCAGCTCTGCCTCCCTGGTGCCACCTCCCTAAGCCCCAGCTGAGCTGGTGTCCCCACGGGTGTCCCCAGGGGTGTCCCCTCCCCACGGGTGTCCCCAGGAGTGTCCCCTCGCCACGGGTGTCCCCTCGCCACGGGTGTCCCCTCCCGGCACTGCCCGCCCCTCAGCCACTGATGGAGTTCGGTCCCTCCCGCTCCCATTCCCGGTGCACACAAATCCCTTCCAGGCTGGGGTGAGCGGGACCAGCCCCCGCCCCCAGCCAATCGCTGTGATTTGCTGCCGAGCGAAGTTTTGGGGCCGATCGATGAACTCGTGAGTGTTTAATTAAGAGGGAGCCCTCAAACTCGTTGCATGGATCAGCCGCAGGTTTATCTTAATTAGCAGCGGGACGGCGTTTGCATCCCGGCTCCGGCGGCGCTGGGGCTGGGAGGGGAGGGAGTGTGAATGGGGCTGGGAGCAGCGGGAATTCCCATTCCAGGGGCAGGGAGGATGCTCTGAGCCCACGGAACAATTTTGGCTCTGTTGGATGCTGCCGGGAAGTTTCCTGGGATGATGCTGAGCCCCGGAGCCAGGGCTGCTGTCGCTGAAGGGCTGGGGGTCCTGAGGGTCCCTCCCAGGGACATTTTACCCTCCCAGGATCGGGGAGGATGCTCCAGGAGCTGGAGCAGCTCTGAGCTGAGGGTGCTCGCTCAGCCCTGCAATTCCCTGGGCAGGGGCACCAAACCTGGACTCTCCTGCTGGAGGCTGTGCCTCAGTTTCCCCACTCGTGAAACACGTGGGGCTGCCCTTGGGATGCCCTTGGGCTGCCCTCAGCAGGCACTGAGTGCCGGGGAGCTGCAGCCACGCTGCCTTTGTGAGTCTCTGTCCCTTAACCTTAAGCTGCATCCCACGAGGATGGAAAATCCCAGATCTGCTCTTCCCACAGAGGGAAAAAGCTGGGATAACACAGCCAGGGAGCAGGGCTTTGTGGTGTAATTAGCAGCCCCTAATTAGCTCATCCATGGGGAAAGCGGGGTGTTTATCCCAAATTCTGCCTCCTTGGGATGGAGAAGGGTTTGCTTCAAGCAGGGTCCTCCCAGTTCCTCCTTTTCCAGGCTGGAATTAAGGAGCCACACGGGTGTGATCCCTTCACTCCAGATCCATGGGATGCTCTCAGAGGCTCCCCCCTATTGGATTTGTGGGATGCCCCAATGAAGGAAGGAATTGAGAATCTGACTCCATGTTCTCAGAAGGCTAATTTATTATTTTATGATACTATATTATATTAAAGAATGCTATACTTTATAAGTATAGTATAGTATATAAACTATACTAAAGTTTATACTTTAGTATAGTTTATATACTATACTATACTTATATACTTTATACTTTATATATAGTTTATATACTTATACTTTACTAAAGTATAGTATATAAACTATACTAAAGAATACAGAAAGGATACTTTGAGAAGACTCAAAAGATAATAATGAAACTCATGACTCTTTCCAGAGTCCTGACACAGCTTGGCCCTGACTGGCCAAAGAGTGAAAACAACTCCCAGCAGAATCCAATGGAACAATCCCCTGTGGGTAACCAATCTCCAAACACATTCCACATGAGCACAGCACAGGAGAAGCAAATGAGAGAAGAATTGTTTTCCTTTTCTCTGAGGCTTCTCAGCTTCCCAGGAGAAGAATCCTGGGCAAGGGGATTTTTCAGAGGCTGTGAATGCCACACTCCCCAGCCCCATCCCTCAGCTGGGAGCATCCCTGGTACCCAAAGCTCCATCCAGCTCCACTGACAGCCCCCCGATGGATGGGTGCCCATAAACCCCCAGCACCGCACTCCCTGGATCATTCATTATTTCCATTCCTCAGTTGAGGAGATTTACAGCCTGGCTGTGAGTATTTCCAGAGGCTGCTTCCTCAGAGAGCTGAACCAGCAGGGAAGTGAATTCAGTTTCAGTGCAAACAGCCTTGTCCTGGCCCCACAGCCCCAGGGGCTGCTGCTCCAAGGGTTTGCATCACTTTTAGCTGAAATCAGGGTCCTGCTGGCTCTGATCCAGCGGATCCTACCCCAGGGGTTGGGTAGGGGATGGGACATCACAGCCCTAGGGTGGAGCTGGGCTGAAATCAGTGGGAATTAGAGCCCTCACAAAGGAAAACCAATGAGAATTTGGAGTGTTATGGGTGGGGAAACTGAGGCACGGCTGGTGGATGCACATCCTGGGGAAAAACTCAGGCAAGCACCTTCCCCAGCTCATTAATTCTCCCTGTAATTAGGGCTCACTAACTCAGCCGGGGAGGATGCCTGGGACCCCCATGGGCTCTCCCCTCATTCTAGATCCCTTTGGGAGCTGCTGGGGAATGCAGGGGAGAGGCAAACCCCTTTTTCCTGTGGTTTTCAGGATAAACTCCCCCTTTCTCTGGCAGAAAATTGGGGAATGGTGCTGTAGGGAGGACAGGGGGCCCTGAAGCTCTCAGGGTGAATCTGGGGCACCTCAAGGAGTGACAGGACAGGGCTGAGTAAAACAATTGGAAAAAAATTCGGGTTTTCCAGGAGGCTGCTGACCTGTCCCTGCACCTTGTGGTGTGCCAGCATCCTCAAGTTCCCTAAAACTCCCTTAAAAGTTCTCTAAAAAACCATGGCCTCCTCCAAAACCCCCATTTTTTAATTAAACCCATCACTGAACATTCCAGCACTCCCACTTTGCCTTTGCTCACCCCTTCCTTGGAGCTAATCCTGTGATTAGGAGCAATGGAGCCATAAATAAGTGCTGGGATCAGGGCTGGATCCCCTCAGCTGCTGGGGGATTTACCCCCTGCAGCACAGCCCCGTTTGTGGATTGCTGATGGTAACGGTGATCAGAGCCCATGGACACACAGAGGATGGGCAGGAAATCAAAACACAGGAGCTGGAGGCTTTTCCCACCATAAATCATCCTTGGGATGGGTTTTCAGCAGTGCCCAAGCTCTGAGTGATGGGAAAGTGAGGCACAGAGTGGGGTCACATCTCCTTGGGTTCCCCTTTGGAACTCAAGGAGATGTGACATAATATAATATAATATAATATAATATAATATAATATAATATAATATAATATAATATAATATGCATTATATATTATACATCATATATTTATATTTAATGTTATGTATTATAATTTATTTTATTATGTATTGTATCTTAACATATTAATATATTATTTTAATATATTATATTGATATAATATATGTAAAATAATATTCCCAATTATTGATATTACCAATACTGGGGACAGGACGTGCCTTGGCTTGTCTGGCTCTTGCTGCTGAACCAAACAGCAGCACTGTGGTGTTTCACCCCACAGACACTTTTGCCTGGCTGGGTGTGTGGTGTTTCACCCCACAGACACTTTGGGCTGCCTGGGTGTGTGGTGTTTCACCCCACAGACACTTTTGCCTGGCTGGGTGTGTGGTGTTTCACCCACAGACACTTTTGGCTGCCTGGGTGTGTGGTGTTTCACCCCACAGACACTTTTGCCTGGCTGGGTGCTGCAGCTGGCACTGCAGACAAGTCCAGGCCTGCAGGAGCTCTGGTGGTGCTGGGATGGAGCTTCCCCCCATAACAGGGGCTGCTCCTGGGGTTTCCCTCTGGCAGAGAAGCTTTAAGGGGGTGGTGAAGGAAAGGAGTCGGTTCTGAGGGAGGGTTTGGATCCAGAGCTTTATTCTGGCCCTCAGGCCTCTGAATGCAGCACCAGCTCCCACAGAACTCCCTGAGCCCGTGGCTGCTGCTCCTTTAACCCCGGGGAGAGGGGCAGGGAAGGGGCAGGGAGGCACCAAGCAGGGACAGGAGGGGAGGGACAAAGGGCCAAAGGACACCTGGATGGGCCAATGCCCCCCAGGGGTAGAGGGCATCCTTTGGATCTGCCAATCACTCGAGGCCCTTCTGGAATGCCAGGAGTGCCAGACAGTGCTGGGAGGGGAGAGGAGAGGGGACTGACACACCTGGGAGGGAATCCTCAGGGGAGGGACCCGGGGTTCTGAGCTAAACCCTGGAATCACACTGCAACACCCAATAACCCCAGTCCTGCTGGCCAGTGCACCACACAGACATTCCAGCCTACCCCAACCCGTTAGCCACAGAATTCCCAGCCATTCCCAGCCATTCCCAGCTGTTCCTTGCCCTCAGCACCCCGGGGGTGCCCAGCCCTGATCCCTGCCCCCTCCCTGCTCTGTTGCAGGTCGCTGCTCTGGAGAGGCAGATCTTTGATTTCCTGGGATACCAGTGGGCCCCCATCCTGGCCAACTTCCTGCACATCATGGCCGTGATTTTGGGTATTTTTGGGACCATCCAGTACAGATCCAGATACCTCATGATGGTAGGTACCACCCTGGGGGTGCAGCAGTGTCAGCCCCAGGTCCCTCCTGTATCCCTGGGAACACTGAAGCTGTGGCTGCTCCATCCCTGCCAGTGCCCAAGGCCGGGCTGGACAGGGCTTGGAGTGGGACAGAGGGATTTGGGAGGTGTTCCTGCCACGGCAGGGGTGGGAATTAGAGCCCTCACAATGGAAATCCAATGACTATTTGGAGTTTTATGGGTGGGGAAACTGAGGCACAGCTGCTGGGAACATCCTCGGGAACAACTCAGGCAAGCACCTTCCCAACCTCATTAATTCTGCCCTGTAATTAGGGCTCACTAACTCAGCCTGGGATGATGCCTGGGGCCCCCAGGGGTTCTCCCCTAACTGATGAACTTTAAGGCCCCTCCCAGCCCAAACCGTGCTGTGATTTTGGGATTCCACGATCCCAGCCCGGATCCCTGGATGGGCGGGGCGGGGCGGGGCCGGAGGGGATGCCCGTGCCCTGACCCCTCTCGTCCCGCAGTACGCGGTGTGGTTGGTGCTGTGGGTCGGCTGGAACGCCTTCATCATCTGCTTCTACCTGGAGGTCGGGCGCTTGTCACAGGTAACGTCCTCATCTTCCTCCTCTTCCTCCCTGCATGCTCCTGCCCTCCGTCCTGCCTGCTGGCCTGCCCTTGCCCTCCTCCTCATCCTCCTCATCCTCATCCTCCTCCTCCTCCCCTCCCTCCTCCCCCAGAAGTGCCCCCCAGGGCCCAGGGGTAAAAGCGGATGCGGGGGGCGCCTCCCCGGAGCAGGGATGGGATGGGATGGGATGGGGTGGGATGGGATGGGATGGGATGGGATGGGATGGGATGGGATGGGATGGACAAACCGACAGCTCAGAGGGGCAGAGAGCGGCAGTTTCTGAACCCGAACCAAATTTCCTTTATCCCCACTGAGGGGAAAAAGGAGAAGCAGAACCCCGGGAACGGGATAAGCAGGGGCAGGAAAGCTCGGGGCAGGGTCTCTGGCAGGGATGGGGAGGGCAGAGGGTGAGAGGAGAACCCCCTGCTGTAAATTCTCTGTTTTCCCGGGATTTCTTGGGCTCACGGGATCAGCATTCCCAGCTTTGGGACGTCACCCATGGGCCATGGGGTGAGGATGTGACAGGGCTGTGCCTCCACCACACCCTGCGCTGTTGAATTTTGCTTTTACACCAAAAAGAGCAAAACCTCCCGGGGGATGATGGGGCAGCACCGGGTGCTCCGAGGGAACCTTTGAACCCAGGCTCGGGGTCCCTGCGCGTCCCTCCCCGGCTCTGGGGACATCCTGGGGGGCTGGGGACAGCCGGCTCCGCTCTCTCCGTGCTGCCTCAAGCAAGGAGAAGCCTCTGGGGGTGTTCCATGGCTGGAACCTTCCCCGAGCAGCTCCAGGTCATTTGAGGCTCTCCCCAAGCGCTGAGTGTGCAGCACGACGGGGAGAGGGGGAGGATTCCCTCCCACCGCGGGTTTTTGTGGAAATCCCGGTGCCCGTCACAGCTCCCCCCCTTCCCTGTGCCTCAGCCGCATCCTCCAGCTCCACAAACCCAAACCCACTCGCTCCCTTTCGGGCTTTTTGCCGCCCCCAGCAGCAAAAATCTTTTCATCCCAGATCGGTGATTTCCTGCAGGGGATGCTCGGCCCCAGCACAGCCGGGGGGGCACAGAGGGGCTGGGGGGGCTCCCCAAGGGTACCAGGGGGATTCTCACAGGGTGGAAAGGGGCAGCCAGGGGCTGGGGATTCTGCCCCTTGCAGGAAGCTGCTGCCTGCCCAAGGCCACCCCACAGCTGCTGGAGAGGACCCAGGCAGAGCCCCAAAGCTTGTGAGGGGCTGACAAGGAGGGGATGTGCTCCAGGGGGACCCTGAGAGGCTCCCTGGGAGTGGGATGAGGGCATGGCAGCCCCAAAGCCCAGGGGAAGCAGCAGGGGCTGCCCTGCATCCCTGGAACACGCAGTGGGGTGCTGCCGATCACAAACACCCTCCCTGCCACTCTGGTCCCGCTCTGTGACACCCACCCTGTCACTGGGCACCCCCTGGGTGCTGCCTGAGCAGATGCCCATGGTGCCAGCACGGGAGGGAGCCCCAAACCCCAGGCTGGGCTCGGGGAGATGCCCTGCTCTGACCCCAGGGAGCATCCTTGCCTTGGGAAAACCCATTTACTGTCCAGTCCCTGCAAAGAGCCTTGGATCCACCATTCTTCTTCTTCTTTCTTTTCTTCTTTCTTTCTTTGTCCTTTTCTCCTTCTTCCTTTTCTTCTTCCTTTTCTTCCTTCTTCCTTTTCTTCCTTCTTCCTTTTCTTCTTCATTATTCTTTATTGTTCTTTCTTTTCTTCTTCTTTCTTCTTTCCTTTCTTCTTCTACTTCTTTCTTTTCTTCTTTCATTTCTTCTTTTTTCTTCTTTCTTTTCTTCTTATTTTCTTATTTCTTTTCTTCTTCCTTTTCTTATTTCTTTTATTCTTCTTCTTCTTCATCTTCTTCTTCTTCTTTCTTTTCTTCTTCTTTCTTTGTCTTTCTTCTTTCCTTTTTCTTCTTTTTTTTTCTTTCTTCCTTCTTCTTCCTTTTCTTCTTTCTTCTTCTTCCTCCTTCTTCCTTCTTCCTTCTCCTTCTTCCTTCTCCTTCTTCCTCCTCCTCCTCCTTCTCCTTCTTCCTCCTCCTCCTCCTGCAGGACCGAGATTTCATCATGACCTTCAACACGTCCCTGCACCGCTCGTGGTGGATGGAGAACGGCCCTGGCTGTCTGGTGACGCCGGTGCTCAACTCTGCGCTGGCTCCCGAGGATCACCACGTCATCACGGTCAGCGGCTGCCTGCTGGACTACCAGTACATCGAGGTGGTGAGCAGCGCCACGCAGATCTTCCTGGCGGTAAGGGCGGCCCTGCTCCCCCTCCGTCCCACACCGCGAATGGGACCGGCGGGGTGGAGGGGCTGGGGTGAGCAGAGGGGCCGCGGTGTCCCCGTCACCGTTTCTGTCACCCAGAGAGGAGCAGGCAGAGCCCTGCCAGCACCCAGGGGGGTGTCTCACCCCAAAACTTGTTGGGTTGAGGGCTGGATGCTGCAGGGAGGGAGGAATCACTGCTTGGGAATGAGCTGCTGGAATGTGCTGCCTGCCGGGAGGGAGGAGCCCCCCTTGCTGGTGACTGTCACCCCTGTGACAGGGAGGTGGCAATGGGGCACGCCTGGAGGCAGAGCTCCCTAAAATGGAGCTTTGAGGGAAATCGGGGTTCCCAAAGGGGCTCCCAGCCCTGTGTGGGGCTCAGCACCCTCTGTGAGGTGCCAGCTCCAGCCCCCTTGGAGCCCCTCCTTGTGCAGCTGGATCCACCCAACCCTGCTGCACTCCAAATGGCCCCAGGATGGGATTCCCAAGGCTCCCAGTTCACTGCCAGGGCCCCCAAGTCACTCCCAGTGCCCCCCAGGTCACTCCCAGGACCCTCAGTTCACCCCCAGTGCCCCCAGGTCACTTCCACTGCTCCCCAAATCACTCCCAAGGCTCCCAGTTCACTGCCAGGGCCCCCATGGTCACTCCCAAGGCCTCCAGGTCACTCCCAGGGCCCCCCTGGTCACTCCCAAGACCCCCAGGCCACTCCCAGGGCCCCCATGGTCACTCCCAAGGCCCCCATGGTCACTCCCAGGGCCCCCCAGGCCACTCCCAGGGCCCCCATGGTCACTCCCAGTCTCCCCAGTTCATTTCCAGTGCCCCCAGGTCACTCCCAGGCCCCCAGCCATGCCCCCACTGGCACTGTGCCCGTTGTGCTGCCCATGCCCCCATAACCAGCCTCTCCCTGCCCTGTTTCTCCCCAGCTCTTCGGCTTCGTCTACGCCTGCTACGTCAGCAAAGTGTTCCTGGAGGAGGAGGACAGCTGTGAGTGCCTTGGCTGGGGGACAGGGACACAGGTCCTCAGCTGGTGCCACCCTGAGGGGATGGCAGCTCCCAGCAGGGTCTGGGGAGGCAATGCCCGGGTCCCTGACAGCTGAGGAAATCCCTTTAGTTGGGTTTTTTCCCTGTTTTCCCATCCCTGGTGAGGCAGAGCTGCTGGGCTGTGATGGGGCCGCTGTCACCTCCCTTCTCCCTTGGCAGCCACCGTGACTTGGGGACACTGTGTCCCCCGGGCTGTGTCCCCACTGCCAGGATTTCACCCCAAACCAGGGGGAAAACAGCATTTTAGGCAAAGTGAAGGCTGACTTTATCCAATCTGTGCTGCTCCTCCTGCTCCCACCCCAATCCCTGCAAACTCCCTTCGGGAAGTGCCCCAGCCCCGTGAACCAGGTGGTCGAGGCTGAGGCTGTCCAAGTGCATTAAAAGCTCATCTGCCATTAATTAATTCCCACCAGCTGGCAGATCCCTGCAGGGCTGGGCCACAGGCACCCGGATGTGCCCCTTCCCTGGGCTCAGCACTGGGCTTAAACTGGGCTCAGCACCGGGCTCAGCCTGGGATCAGGACTGGGATCAGACTGGGCTCAGCACCAGGCATAGACTGAGCTCAGCACTGGGGTCAGACTGGGATCAGGACTGGGATCAGACTGGGCTCAGCACCAGGCTTAGACTGAGCTCAGCACTGGGGTCAGGAGTGGGATCAGACCAGGCTCAGCACCGGGATCAGACTGGGATCAGACCGGGCATAGACTAGGCTCAGCAACAAGCTCAGACTGGGATCAGCACCGGGCTCAGCACTGGGATCAGACTGGGCTCAGACCGGGTTTAGACTGGGATCAGAACCGGGCTCAGCACTAGGAACAGACCAGGCTCAGACTGGGCTCAGCACCAGGCTCAGCACCAGGCTCAGACCAGGATCAGACTGGGCTCAGCACTGGGCTCAGACCAGGTTTAGACTGGGATCAGACTTGGCTCAGACCAGGCTCAGATCAGGCTCAGCACCGAGATCAGACCAGCCTCAGACCAGGCTCAGCACTGGGATCAGACTGGGATCAGAACTGGGCTTAGACCAGGCTCAGCACCCCCCTCATGCCCACAGGTGGTCCCAGCCCAGCCCGGGGCTGCAGCACCCCCAGGTTTTCCTCCTTTCCCATGGAAATAAAACATTCCCGTGGGGAATTGGCCTCTGCCTGGGGGAACAGCTCCTTTCCAAAGGGTTTACCCAGCGCTGGCGGCTCTGGAGCACGTTTGCACTCCCACAAACTCTGCATCCAACACAATTTTAATATTAATGCTCCCTCAGCCCGGGATGCAAATGCATCTTTTTAATGGAATATCTTATTAGATTTGAAATGGATGGATGGTGTCAAAATTGAGAGCTGGGGGAATATTGAGTCAGGAAGGGAAATATTCCAGGAGAGGAGGACTCTGCCCTGGAGCTCTCAGCTCTCGGACACTCATGAATAACCCACCCCAATGTGGGATTTGGGGATCCTGGAAAGGTTGGAATTCCCAGCCTGGCTGCACCAGGAGTCCATCCCTGTGCTGGCTGTGCCAGGGAGAGGGGTCAGGTCTGGGGAAACACGGGGTGATCTGCGAGAAGTTGGGGCATGCCCACCCACCCGGGGCACCCCCAGAACCCCCAGGACATCCCCAGCCCCCCAGAGCTGCCCCGGCACCGCTCGGGACGAGGGGCCGGGCTCTGACCCCCCGGACCGGGCTCGGAGCCGCCAGGCTGGAAACCCCAGCGGTGAAAGCTGCTCTATGGAGCCTGCAATGGCCCGAGGTGACAGCCCCAAAGGGGCGCTGATTCCCCCGTGACTGTCCCGCAATGCTGAAATGCCAGCCCCGCGGGCAGCGGGGGGAATCGCGCCCTCTCTGTGCGGCGGGGCTGTGCTGGGGAGAACGGACGGGAACGGAGCCGCTGCCCCCGCGGGAGCTGCTCCGGCTCCTTCCCCCCATTTCCCCCGGTGTTTCCCGGGATGTTGCCGCGATCCCGGCTGCTGTTCCCTGCAGTGAAGCCCTGGTCGGGGGTGCCCCTGTGCCTCCCTGGGTGCTCCATTCCAGGCTGGCCAGAGCCCGTGGGGTCTCCAAAGCTGCCTGGACAGAATTCCAAGTGCCCCGGGGGACCCTGCCTGAGCGGGGGGGTTGGGCTGGGTGACCCCCAGGGGTCCATTCTGAGCTGATCCAGTTTGTGGCGCTGATTTATTCCCTTGGGAATGCAGCACTGGGATCCCCAGGATGCTGAGGTGGTTCAGGGTCACCAAATCACGGGATGGTTTGGGTGGGAAGGGACCTGAAATCCCCTCCAGTGCCACCCCTGCCATGGCAGGGCCACCTCCCACTGTGCCAGGTGCTGCCAGCCCCAATGTCCAGCCTGGCCTTGGGCACTGCCAGGGCTCCAGGGGCAGCCCCAGCTGCTCTGGCAATTCCAGCCCAGCCCCTGCCCACCCTGCCAGGGAACAATTCCCAATTGCCAAGATCCCATCCAGCCCTGCCCTCTGCCACTGGCAGCCATTCCCTGCCTCCTGTCCCTCCATCCTTGGCCCCAGTCCCTCTGCAGCTCTCCTGGAGCCCCTTCAGGCCCTGAAGGGGCTCTGAGAGTTTCCCAATTTCACACTGAGCACTCGCATTTCCCTGGGGTGTCACATTTTGATGGGATGCAGCTGCAGCCCGGGATGTTCCCATCCCACGGGGATCTCCCTGCTGCCCTTCCCGGCTCACCCCGCTGCTCTCCCGGCTCTCCCCAGTTGATTTCATCGGCGGCTTTGACTCCTACGGGTACCAGGCACCCCAGAAGACGTCGCACCTGCAGCTACAGCCGCTCTACACGTGAGTGCCGGGGTGCTCAGGGGTGCAGGCCCCTCAGTGTGCCCACACTTGGGGCTGCGCATCCTCCCCGCAGATCCCCAGGCTCCACCCGGGCAGGGTCGGGCGCTCTGGGGAGGATCCCGCTCGCGGTTTGTGTTCGCTGGTTTTGTGTTCCCTGGGTTTTGTTCGCTGGGTTTGTGTTCGCTGGGTTTGTGTTCGCTGGGTTTGTGTTCGCTGGGTTTGGGTTTGTTCGCTGGGTTTGGGTTTGTTCACTGGGTTATGCTCGCTGGGTTTTGCTGGCTGGGTTTGTGTTCACTGGGTTTGTGTTCGCTGGGTTTCGCTTGATGGGTTTGGGTTTGTTCACTGGGTTTGTGTTCACTGGGTTTGGGTTTGTTTGCTGGGTTTGTGTTCACTGGGTTTGGGTTTGTTTGCTGGGTTTGTGTTCACTGGGTTTGGGTTTGTTCGCTGGGTTTTGCTCACTGGGTTTTGCTCACTGGGTTTCGCTTGCTGGGTTTTGCTCGCTGGGTTTTGCTCGCTGGGTTTGTGTTCACTGGGTTTGTGTTCACTGGGTTTTGCTCACTGGGTTTTGCTCGCTGGGTTTGTGTTCACTGGGTTAGTGTTCGCTGGGTTTTGCTCGCTGGGTTTTATTCGCTGGGTTTTGTTTGCTGAGCTCCCCCGCCGTGCCCGGGGCAGAATCCCTCTCCTGATAAGCGCAGCCGACTCCTCCTCGCTCTCCCTCCCCGTTAAGCCGAGCTCGATAAACACTCCAGCGAGATAAGGCTCGCAAATCTAAAGGGATTAACCTCGAGCAGGCTCTGCCCGCTGCCAAAAATTAATTATATTTTAAGCCTTGGATGCAAATTGAAGGGCAGGCGATGCCATTGGGGAGGCAGAGAGAGAGGGGCTGGGAGGGGACAAATCCCTCTGTGACACTGCTGGGCCCTCCCTGGGGACACTGATGGGGTCGGGGGGAGCACCCATGGGTGCTGTGCCCCCTGCACGGGGCTGCTCCTTCCCTGGGAGCCCCCCGGGTGTGGGTGGGACACAGGTGGGGACATGGATGGTGGCACTGGCACCTCCTGGGGATTACTGGGGTGCCCTCCCTCACCTTGGGGGTCCCAGGAGTGTTGTCCCATGGATGGGACGCGTCCCCTGTGTCCCTTCAGCCCTGCCTGGGTGGGACTGGGCAAAGCCACCATGGGCAGAGGGACAGGGGAGCCACCCTGACCCCCCCAGGGCACAGGGGAGCCTGTCCTGTCCCCATGTCACCCCCAGGGCACAGGGGAGCCTGTCCTGTCCCCATGTCACCCCCAGAGCACAGGGTAGCCTGTCCTGTCCCCATGTCACCCCCCAGGGCACAGGGTAGCCTGTCCTGTCCCCATGTCACCCCCCAGGGCACAGAGGAGCCTGTCCTGTCCCCATGTCACCCTCAGAGCACAGGGGAGCCTGTCCTGTCCCCATGTCACCCCTCAGAGCACAGGGGAGCCTGTCCTGTCCCCATGTCACCCTCAGAGCACAGGGGAGCCTGTCCTGTCCCCATGTCACCCCCAGAGCACAGGGGAGCCTGTCCTGTCCCCATGTCACCCCCAGGGGCACAGCAGACCCTGATGGCACAGGGGTCAGCGCTGAAAGCTGCAGGATTTGGGGAAATCAGCTCAAAATTGGATTTGAAGTGCTGGGGACAGCAGCTTTGGACACACAGGGGACACAAAAGCTGCTGGCACAGAAGGCTGGGGCTGTGTCACCAGGTGGGGACACCTCGGCTCCTGGGGGTCCCTGTCCCTATCCTAGGGGGTTGTTCCCTCCCTGTGCCCTCTGCCCCTCCCAGTGTCCCCCTGGCACTGCCCCAGCTGCCAGGGACCCGGCCTGGGGTGTTGGGTGACACCAGGACACTGTCACCGCCCTGCCAGCTCCCCCCTGTCCCCAGCAGCTCATTAATGAGCCACTGATTAATTAATTAATGCAGTTGTCATTTCCATGTCCGCTCCATCCCCCTGGCAGCAGGGGCAGCTCAGGGACTCAGGGCTGCCCCTGTCCCCAAAGGAGGGGACACGGAGAGGACAAGGAGGGGACACAGGGAGGGCTCCTCCCACCAGCCAGGGGACAAACAAGGGCTGGCCTGGCTCTGTGGGGCAGGTCACTCCTGTCCCCAGGGCCACTCCTGTCCCCAGGGTCAGCCGGGCTGCAGCAATTACAGCTCATTCTGCAGTTTCTAATTAGCTGTGATTGAATTAACGGACACGTGAAGAGATCCGGGAATAATAACAATAACAATAACAATATAATTATTATTAATTATAATAATTTTACTATATCGTTAATTATTTTAATTATTATTAATTATTATTAATTAACAATAATATTATGTCATTATTCATTATTCATTATCGTTATTTTATATTAAACATATTATTATTATTATTATTATTATTATTATTACTATTATTATTATTATTATTATTATTATTATTATTATTATTATTATATTGTTGTTAACAATAACAACAATAAGGAAAACCTGTGATATAACAACGGTTTAATAATTGAAATGAACCAAATATAATAACCAGAATAATAGCAGTAGTAATAGTGGTAATAGTTGTAGTAGCAAGTGTATTATTATTATTAATAAAAATAAAAAGCGACAATAATAGGGAGAACTTGGGGGTAACAACAGTTTAATGACTGAAGTTAAGAAAAATATAATAACAAGAATAATAGTAGTAGGAGGAGCTGTATTATTATTATTAAGAAGAAGAAAAATATCAACAATAACAGGGAAAACCTGTGTGGTAACAACAGTTTAATAACTGAAATTAAAGAATATATAATAAAAGGAATAATAGTAATAGTAGTAGTTATAATAGTTGTAGGAGGAGCTGTATTATTATCAATAAAAATAAAAATAGCAACAACAATAACAGGGAGAACTTGTGGGGTAACAACAGTTTAATAACTGAAATTAAAGAATATATAATAACAGGAATAATAGAAATAGTAGTAGTTATAATAGTTGTAGGAGGAGCTGTATTATTATCAATAAAAATAAAAATAGCAACAACAATAACAGGGAGAACTTGTGGGGTAACAACAGTTTAATAACTGAAATTAAAGAATATATAATAACAGGAATAATAGAAATAGTAGTAGTTACAATAGTTGTAGGAGGAGCTGTATTATTATCAATAAAAATAAAAATAGCAACAACAATAACAGGGAGAACTTGTGGGGTAACAACAGTTTAATAACTGAAATTAAGCAAAAGATAACAAGAAGAATAATAACACTAGTATAATAGCAGCAACAATAGAATAATAGCACTAGTAGCAGTAGCAGCTGTATTATTATTAGTATTAATAATAACAATAAAATTATTAATGATAACAACGATAGCAATGCTGATTATAATAACAATAATAAAAATAAAAAATAAAACCCCCCAAAAAAATAAAAATAAAAATAATAAAAATTAAAAAGACAAAAAAGATAAAATAAAAAAGATAAAATAAAAATAAAATTATAATAGACACACGAAGAAGAGAGAAGGATGAACCCCAGGAACACGCTGTCCCCATGTGAGGGGACACCAGCCCCGCTCCCCAGCCGCTCTCTGACATTTTTGGGGGTGGAAGAGAGCAGTGACCCCATGAGCAGGGGGTCACTGTCCCCTTCTGGCCGCGGCTCTTTGTCCCCATGTGGGGACACTCCATGGGCTCTCTCCCATCCCTTCCTGTCCCCTCTTTGTCCCCATGTGGGGACACTCCATGGGCTCTCTCCCATCCCTTCCTGTCCCCTCTTTGTCCCCATGTGGGGACACTCCATGGGCTCTCTCCCATCCCTTCCTGTCCCCTCTTTGTCCCCATGTGGGGACACTCCATGGGCTCTCTCCCATCCCTTCCTGTCCCCTCTTTGTCCCCATGTGGGGACACTCCATGGGCTCTCTCCCATCCCTTCCTGTCCCCTCTTTGTCCCCATGTGGGGACACTCCATGGGCTCTCTCCCATCCCTTCCTGTCCCCTCTTTGTCCCCATGTGGGGACACTCCATGGGCTCTCTCCCATCCCTTCCTGTCCCCTCTTTTCCAGCTCGGGATAACCGGAGCCAGCGGCGCCAGGACCCCGCGGTGTCACCACCCCCTGATGCCACCACCCCCGGCGCGACGGGGCCACCACCCTGCTGCAGCCCGGGACATGGCGGGGGCTGTGCCACCCCCTGGGCACCCCCTGCCCGCCGTGGGGACACGGGGACAGCGCGGAGGTGGCAGCGCTCACGGGACACCGCTGGATGTGTTTGTCCCAGCCTGGCTTTTCCTTGGAGCAGCGGAGCGGGCTCGGGACAGGGACAGGGACAGGGACAGCACCGCCCTGGGGACAGGCGGGCTCGGGACAATGTCCTGACACTCTGGATCTGGCTCAGACTGGCTCCAAGCACGGGATTGGTACTCCCGGCAGGAATTCTCCCACCGGGATGAAGCAGCAGTGCCGGGACTCGCTCTGGGACGCTCCGAGGAGTCGGATCCATCCATCAGCATTGCCTCGACCCCAGATTTGGGGACAAAGGGGACACACAGGACCCTGAACCCCCCTGCACCCCCTCCCTGCCACGTTTTGGGGGCCTTGCTCCGAGCTGGGAGCCCCGAGGCTGCCGCAGCCCAGCCCCTCCCCGGCCCTTGGAACGATCTGATGAATGTTTTGGGTTTTGCTTTGGGATTATTTTTTCCAATAATTTCTTTGGGTTTTTATTTAATTTAAAGTGCCTGAGTAGACTCTGGCTGAGCTGGGCCCCCCCCCAAGGCTGACACCGTGCCTTCAGCAGGGCTGGGACCCCCAGGGCCCCCCCAAACCTCACCCAGGGCTGGGGGTCCCACCCTGGTCCCTTCATCCGTGGGGGGCTCAGTGCCAAATTCATCCATCAGCTCCAGTGGCACAGGGACACCGGCACTGGGGGAGGATTTTGGGGGGTGTGAGATGGGCTGGGCAGGGATTGCTTTGCAGGAGGAAGATCAGCTGGGAAGGAAAGGCCTTGGAAGAAAGTGGAAGGAAAAAAAAGGAGTTTCCTGGAGTGTCCCAGCTCCCCAGAACCTTCTCGCTCTCCTTTCTGTGGGATGTGGCTCCTCCAGGATCCTGGATCTGCTCCCAGGCCCACCCTGCCCCCCTGGGAGGGAGCTGGGGAATTTGGGTGGATTTCACCTCCCAGCTGTTTCTCCTCCAGTGCCAGGGGAGTTTTGTACACCCTGGAATGGTTTTTGGCCCTTCCCAACAGGGAGCCCTGGAAGTGCCAGGGCGCGGAGCTGGGATGGGCTGAGCCACCTCCAGCCAAGCTGTGAACTCTACAGGCAATAATTTTCCACCCTTTGCCCCTATTTTTCCATGGAAAATCGTGTTTTTTTCAGGCAGTGATCCCCCTCATCCCCCAGTACACATCCCCATCACCAAGCCCTGGAGCCAGCAGCATCTTTGGGGTTTATTTTCCTCTCCAGGACCAAGGGTGCTGCACTGACCTGCTCTGGGATGGGATGGACAGGCAGACACTCCCCTGCTCCCAACCCTTCCCAAGCCCAGCAGGAAGCAGCAGGAAGAGCTCACTGCATTAAAGCTCTGGGGAAGAGCCTCCCTCCCTCCCTCCCCTGGGCTCCACAGGGGCCAGGCACGGCGCTCCAGGACCTTGGGTGTTTCTGTTCCGTTGGCTTGGTTTTCTATGAGCCCGTCTTTGTAACGTGAATTGAGGATTTCTTTTCTATTCTGTAATTATAAAAGTCAAAGGAAAGTTTCAGCTGGTGCTGTTCTGCTTCGGGGCATTTCCCTTCCCCAGGCAGTTCAGGTGATTAAGGTGGGGGTGATTTTTAAATTTTTTTTTTAATTCCTTTTCTCTTTTTCCCTCCCTTAACACTGTCACCTCCCTCCTCAGGGCTCTGAATGCCCGAGATTTCCCCATCTTATATCATGGAATGGTTTGGATTGGGAAAAGAGCTTAAACCCCATCCATTGCCACCCCTGCCACAGCAGGGCCACCTCCCACTGTGCCAGGTGCTGCCAGCCCCAATGTCCAGCCTGGCCTTGGGCACTGCCAGGGCTCCAGGGGCAGCCACAGCTGCTCTGGCAATTCCAGCCCAGCCCCTGCCCACCCTGCCAGGGAACAATTCCCAATTGCCAAGATCCCATCCAGCCCTGCCCTCTGCCACTGGCAGCCATTCCCTGCCTCCTGGCCCTCCATCCTTGGCCCCAGTCCCTCTGCAGCTCTCCTGGAGCCCCTTCAGGCCCTGCAAGGGCTCTGAGCTCTCCCTGGAGCCTTCTCCTCTCCAGGGCAGCACCCCCAGCTCTCCCAGCCTGGCTCCAGAGGGGCTCCAGCCCTGCAGCAGCTCCGTGGGCTCCTCTGGGCTCTCTCCAGCAGCTCCAGGTCCTTGATTTCGGAGGCTCCAGGGCTGGGACAGCTCTGCAGGTCGGTTCCTTCCACGGCCACAGCGCTCCAGCACCCCACGGCCCCCCAGCCGGGGAGTCCATCCCACCGCGCTCCTCCCCAGCTGGGTGGGAGGGGCGAACCCTTCCCCTGCCCCCACCACGGATCTGCCCCTTCCCCAACAACCTCCCAGCCCAGCCCAGCCCAGCCCGGCCCAGCCCAGCCCAGCCCAGCCCGGCCCGGCCCAACCAGGCTCCGTAGCCGGGCCGGGCACACCGGGACATCCTCCAGAGGTGGCGGAGCTGCAGCTTCGCCCTCCTGGGAAGGGCGGGAGAGCATCAAACTGGAGGCTGGAATGGACTCCTTAAAGTGGTTTTTCCATTAAAACCTTTAATTTTGGGGCACAAGTCCGAGTTTATAACCGCAGGTTTGGTTTTAGAGCCGGAATCGTGTTTTGAGAGCAGCAGGGGGAATTCTTGTGACGGGGCCAAAGGTGTCCCAAATGTCACCTGTGCCGTGTGATGTCCCCAGCCGAGTCTGGAACCGGGACACAGGTGCAGCGCCCCAAAAAACCATCGGGGCACCCCAGATTTAAAATCCAGAGAGTGTGGGCATTGCATTGATCCTCACAGACACGGGGGAGTCTGGGGGGGTCGCTCTGAACTCTGGCCCCAGCCGGTCCCTCTGCACAGCCCGGGTCCCATTCTCACGGTCCCCGTCCCCTTCCCTACACACCCTGTCCCATTCCCACAGCTCCTGTCTCCTCACCAAAACCCTGTCCCCTCCCGAAACCCCTGTCCGCCCCCCCAGCCCCTGTCCCCTCACACTGTCCTTGTTCCCTCTCCAAGTCCCTGTCCCCTCCTCACACCCCTGTCCCGTCCCCAGCCCTGTCCCCTCTCCAAACCCCCGGCCCCTCCCAGCCCCTGTCCCCTCACACAGCCCCTGTCCCCTCACACAGTCCCCGTCCCCTCACACAGGCCCTGTCCTCTCCCAGCCCCTGTCCCCCCCACACAGCCCCTGTCCCCTCACACAGCCCCTGTCCCCTCACACAGGCCCCGTCCCCTCACACAGGCCCTGTCCTCTCCCAGCCCCTGTCCCCCTCACACAGCCCCTGTCCCCTCACACAGTCCCTGTCCCCCTCACACAGCCCCTGTCCCCTCACACAGGCCCTGTCCCCTCACACAGGCCCTGTCCTCTCCCAGCCCCTGTCCCCCTCACACAGCCCCTGTCCCCTCACACAGTCCCTGTCCCCTCACACAGGCCCTGTCCCCTCACACAGGCCCTGTCCTCTCCCAGCCCCTGTCCCCCTCACACAGCCCCTGTCCCCTCACACAGCCCCTGTCCCCTCACACAGGCCCTGTCCCCTCACACAGGCCCTGTCCCCCTCACACAGGCCCTGTCCCCCTCACACAGTCCCTGTCCCCTCACACAGTCCCTGTCCCCCTCACACAGCCCCTGTCCCCTCACACAGTCCCTGTCCCCCTCACACAGCCCCTGTCCCCTCACACAGGCCCTGTCCCCTCACACAGGCCCTGTCCCCCTCACACAGCCCCTGTCCCCCTCACACAGGCCCTGTCCCCTCACACAGGCCCTGTCCCCTCACACAGGCCCTGTCCTCTCCCAGCCCCTGTCCCCCTCACACAGCCCCTGTCCCCTCCCCAAACCCCTGTCGCCCTCACACAGCCCCTGTCCCCTCACATAGGCCCTGTCTCCTCACACAGCCCCTGTCTCCTCACACAGCCCCTGTCCCCTCGCACAGGCCCTGTCCCCCTCACACAGGCCCTGTCCCCTCCCAGCGCTGTCCCCTCACACAGGCCCTGTCCCCCTCACACAGTCCCTGTCCCCTCACACAGTCCCTGTCCCCCTCACACAGGCCCTGTCCCCTCACACAGCCCCTGTCCCCTCCCAGCGCTGTCCCCTCCCCTCGGAGCTGCGCTGTCATTACCGAGTCCGAGCAGTGCCCGGGCTCCGTGCAGAGCCCCGAGCGGGCCGTGCCCGCAAGGGCAGCAGAAACACGAGCTGATTTTCTTCCATCCCCAGCCCGGCAAAGAAACAGCGGAGGAGCAACAAAGGATGAATTTTGCCTCTCGCAGCCGCCGGAGCCCGGCGAGGCCCAGATGTTCAGGAGGAAAAAAGGCGCTTTCAGAGCCTCCAACAAAGGCACAGAGCCGCTTTTCAGGGCTCGGGGATGTGGGGAGCCAGCTGGGAGCTCCAAGGTGTGCTGGGACCCGGGGAACGGAGCTCTGAGGTGCTCTCACCAAGCTAAATCATCAAGGGACAGGTTTGGGGTTTGATCCTTCCTGCTTGGGCTTGGGAGCAAGGAGGAATGGAGAGAACATCCCTGAGTGAGGAGGGATGGAGTGAGCATCCCTGAGCGAGGAGGGGTGGAGAGAACATCCCTGAGCAAGGAGGGGTGGAGAGAACTGTTGTGGTGTTGTGAGGGTCCCCGTGATGAGGTGAGAGGTGAGAATTTGACTCCAAGTTCTGAGAAGACTGATTTATTATTTTATGATATTATATTAAGGAAATGATATACTAAAATTATACTAAAGAAAGAGAAAGGATACATCAGAAGGTTAGAAAAGAATGAATAATAAAAACCCATGACTCCTCAGAGTCCAACACAGCTGGCTGTGATTGATCATTAAGAAAACACAATTCACATTGAACCAATGAAAGAATCACCTACCGCATTCCAAAGCAGCAAAACACGAGGAGAAACACCAGATAATTATTATTTACATTTTTCTCTGAGGCTTCTCAGCTTCCTAGGAGAAGAAATCCTGGCAAAGGGATTTTTCAGAAAACATCATGGTGACAGAGAACATCCCTGA